GATTGGTGAATGTCACAGAGATAGATATATAGAGATAGAAAGATGTATAGGGCCGGGATTGGTGATGGAATGTCGTCAATAAAAAGCATATATGGCCCCGATAATTAAAAAAAAGCGTGACATAGTATGGACGGAGAGAGAGAGAGATAATGTACCCATAAAATTTGTCTGGTAATTGATACGATATCAAGCAAAATGTGTAGGTGTTAGGTAGCGAGGGAGGAAGGATGTTCGGGTTAGGTCGGGTTTCTCCAAACTCAAACGCAATCCAGCAGGTGTATTTATTAAAAATTCGGTAAAACATGGTCATTAAAGTTTAGAAGTGTTCATGTGAATTCAGGTAGTATTTGCATTAAAAATTTTCAATACTCTGTCAAACCAATTGTGTAGAGAAAATTGATAAAACTGATGCATTTTGCGACTTTGATTAAATTAATCGTTTATCATTTGCATCCAATATCTAATGGATATTACAAAACTCAATAACCAATAATAGTAGTTCAAAAACATTTTTTTTAATATTCTCCATGCTTACAAGTAGATGGTACGCGCGCGTGTAGTTCGGTTAGAAAATACGACGAATATTTGATAGCGTAAGAAATAACATTTTATCATGTAAAAAAAATATAGCGCGGGCCATTCGCGTGACCTGCAATCCACCCACCCACCCACGTGTGCAACATAGGAGATTTATCAATCCACATCCACAACTTGCGGTTCGGGTTATTTGCGAGTGGATCGACATAAACCCGCAGATCGATTAACCACCCACGTGTCCACCCCTAATTTCAAATTGTACTATAACGTAATGGTATACATTCTCTTTTGATACAACAATTGAACTTGTACTTTAAAGTTTAAAACATTATAACACAACTTCAATTTATACCTCAAAATACCAATGCTTTAAAGTACAACAGAAGTATAAAACATCAGCCACATTTACTTAGGGGTCGTTTGGAAGTTGTGATAGTTTTGTTGAGATTGTCATTATGCAAGTATTGTTTACAATGCATGTTTTTTTTTGTTCTTTTAGCAGAAACAATACATGGATTGTTTTTGTGATGTGACAGAAACTATCACTCATTTTGAGTGATTGTTATATCTCAACTTTTAGTTGTGATTGTTGAGATAGTTGAGCTGAGATTGTTTTGTCTCAACTTTTAGCTAATGCGACATACACAATCACACATACGATTACGAAACGTTGTATTCTATAATGCATCAAATTCGACAATACATGTATAATATTATACATGCATTCTCAACAATACATCTATTTAACAATCGCAATTCCAAACGGACCCTTATGTTTCTAAAAACCATGTTTCTTGTAGTGCCTCCCATAACGAATTCAAAGCATGCCCAACAGAATCTAACTTTATTCCACACAGAGAGAGAGAGAGGAGTAATTTCCCAAACAAAGAATGCAGGTGGGGAACAGTAGGTAGCCACAAACCATCTAGCAGCTGCGGGTGTCAGTCATGGTTTTCCGAACATTACACAACAGAACTGTCAGAAAGAGGAAGCCATATGGAAATGGAGATTGTGATTGAGGACAAAGACAGATTTGCCTTGGATTTCCGAGCAATGCCAAAGCCAAAGACAGACAGACTGACTGCTATTCCTCCTTCCTACCTAGCTAGCTTATAACTCCTCCCATCCTTTTCTTCTTTTCATTGAATAAGATGGCTCCCTACAATAACAGCTCTCTCTCTCTCTCTCTCTCTCTCTCTCTCTCTCTCTCTTTTCTTCTTCTAATTCTCCTACGTACTTCTTCTTTTCTCAAATCTTTAGGTACAGTAATCGAGATTTTCAATTTCACATATATTAATTAATTATCCATGCTGTCGTCTTTTTTGCATGAGATTGCGGGAATGGGAGATATGGGGTGGGTTGTAATGTCTTTATTGGAATATGGAAAACAAATCATTGTCGTGGGAGGGAAGCGCAACAGAGATTCACAACATCATTACAACAGACAAGAAGAGTACTGTTGTTTGTTCGTTCGCGGTTACCAGTTAATCCGCTAACCGGCAACTGGATTTGCGCATAATATCCAAATTCAAACTCCTTAATTAATTAATTAATTAATTAGTCGTCGTGGTTCAATAATTTCGTATCGTTGAAACCGCCTGTCGATTCGGGCGGTCTGCTATCCGGTATTTTCCGATATAGGACGACCAACACCGTTGTCTAAAACATTGGTCTAATTAAAAAGGGAAATGGGCTACTACGTCCCTCTGTCAAATTGAAGCACGAGGCGCAACAGCTGACATGAACATTTTAACAGACTAGGATTCGTTTTTTGGGGTTGGAGAGCGGCAGAGCTTTTCTTTTTATTTTTGGTGTTGGTAAGGGGAAGAAGATTGTTTGAAATAAGAGGGGTGCCTCCATGCTTTATTCCTTCTTGGTAAACAGCTGCTGCTGCTGCTGCATTGCATTGGTAGTATCAAAAAGCCAAATAAATCATCCCATCCATTCCTCACTCAGTCAGTCGTCTCCTCTCAAATTAAGATTCCTTGCTTTCAACGTGACCAATCTCAGTCCCCACACTCCACTCCTATGCCTGTTCCCCACCACCACATTTATCGTTAAATACTCTTGATAAAATTTCTGGGTCAGTCACTGGTCCTCACCGGCGTCGTCGGATCGGGTGCGAGCAATCTGAAGCTATTGAATGCATGCTGGTGAAGTGGTGATGAACGATTTTGAAAATAAACTATCACCGCAATGTGGATCTGATGCGCCCGATTCTATGCAAGATTCTTCTCAAGAGTTAGATTTGTTTGTGAGGATGATATAAAAAAATAATTGGAAAGAAACGAATTAAGGTGTAGGTTGGGGAATAGGGGTAAGGTCAAGTCGTTTCCGTTACGTAGTGAGTCAGAGTCCAACCTGAAAGCAAAGCAAAGAAGGAAGGAAGAGAAATGGAATTTGGGGAACGAAGGAGACTACCAGCTTTGATGTATGCACGCGTCATTGGAGCGCGTGTTGGCAGGACAGGAGCGCGCCTCTCTCTACTCTCTGCTCTGCTCTGCTCTACGTCGTCTACGTACGTACGTAAAAGCCTTTATTTTCGTTGGTGACAAGTGGGGCCCAGGAATGCTGACAAAACACAACTTTGTCTCCTAGTGACTCGCGCCCTAGCAAAAGCAGTCACTCTCTCTAATTAATTAGGCATTTCATCGAATTCCAGGAATTCAGTTGCCTGCCTGTCTGTCTGTCGCAAAGATCGATTTGTTCGACAACTATTGTATTCTGTTGTTTGATCTGGTTCTTGGAGGGTTGGGATTTTGTAGTCTTTTTATGACACTCACTATTTGTACTAGGTACGTACTCATGTTAATTAGTTTAGTTGCCAACATTAATGATTAGTACAGATCTGCAGTCATCTATTAATTAAATCATTATTATTACTACTACTCGATTAATGTCGATCCATATATATAATAATGATTGGCCTCATCCTGATATACCAAATCTTTCTTCTTATATCGACGTATGCACTCAATTTGATGAGTATATATAATAAGAAGCATGCAATATATTTCATATTTGGTGGATCTCCTGGAAGTCACGAAACACTAGGTGGATCGCTCTCTAACATATTCCATACATTCTTCTTTGTCTCTTCCTTTCTTTACAATACCTAGGATAATTTTAGAGCATTCTATAATCTATATATGGTACTCAGATGTAAATATTGTGAACTCTAACTACTAATTCTCTAACTTCTAAATCATAAGATGGTGCATTTAGTATATATTTTGAAAAATCAAAATCATCGATTCTTGTCTAATTAAATTAATCTTATGTTACATGCCTCTTTGAATTATAACCTATGTACTCATTACGGTTTACAGTAGGGTATCATGCCTGAAACTGAAGTTGAATCAAGGTATAGATAGCCTTTTCTTAAGAAGAATAGGCTATACTCTCATATTTACCTTGAGTACAATAGAACCCTCCAATAAATATAATTAAAAACATAAGCAACTCCTATCACACTACTATACAAGGGTTTCGATAGCTCCGCTGATCCTTTCCTGAGCTTGCGTTAAGGTTGTTTTTACTAACTTATTTTATGAGTCATTTGATTCCCGATGAATCGTTTGACAATAACAACAAAACAAAAAAACATAATGAGCTATTTGATTCGAACAAAATTATCGAGGCATTTTTCAATGATCGTTCTCCACGAGTCGTTTGCAAACGACTCATGTTTTCTTCAATACTTTCCAATTATTAACTCTGTCCTTTTTCGTAAACCCAATATTAACCTCTCTCTATGTTCACAAATGTCTATACAAATGACTCATTTCGACTCTCGGTTTCCTTACTCGATATTAATTAATTGCCATGAAATTCATTTTGAATTTTGGTCATGTACGTATTACATGCCTACAACAGTACCAAATTGATCATCATGTTCCTTCATCAACAAGATTATCGGCCACTGATCATCAAATTTACTTTTAAGGAAGTGAAAACAATATTCGATTTCCACCATGGGAGGCTTGTTTTTCCAGAGGTCAACCCTAATTATATTATATATCCAAGGAGTGAGTGCTGATCAGGGATTTTTAAAACCCTTAGCTTTACGAAAGTAATCATAAAAAAGAGCAGCAAGCAAGTCTAATAATCAAAAGGGGGCGGACGACACACCAACGAAATTGCACTTTGCCATATTCGATTAGTAGCTACTTCGCGAATCAGCAGCCAAAGTCAGCCAGCCAGCCAGCCATTGCCATTATTTGCTAATGTGAATGTATATACCTTACTTGCTTAAAGCATGCATTTATTTTAAATTACAAACTTCAATTCCAATGTCGTTGATTCTTCATTGTATTTATAATAAAGATAATACAATGAATTAAGAATTGATTCTGAGGTTTTGATGTTAGTCAATCGGACACATCGATCATTTTTCAGAGCATCGTCTCAAACAATTCAATTGTCATGTAAGAGCATAAACACAACACAGAAAGAGACTTAGCTAGGCTTTTTCATTAATGATCGATAAAACTCAATCTCGATCTCGTTCATGCGGCTTTCTTACAACATTAGTACTACTAGTCAATCTTGGAGAAGCCAAATTCATCACCATTGTTTCAAAGTATCCCCCTCAAACCCGAAACTCCAACCCTATCTCTCTACAAGATTCACTGAAGCAGCTACTACTACCACATTACCCACCAAAATCAGAAAACGTACAAGAAATCAAAGAAGAAGAAGAAGAATCCCCAACACAACTAGCTTCAGGATCTCCACATCACACACACACACAGTTAACTAACTAAACTAAACTAACTAACTAACTAACCAACACAGTCAAAGTTCACTTCATCGTATGTTTAAAAAGTTAATCTAAACCAAACTAGAGCTGATTGTTGGAAGTGGAAGAAGAGGTGAAGCTGGAAAGATCCGCACTACTTGTCCACCCAGCAGCAGCAGCAGAATTATTAGCACCAGAACCACCCCAGCCGCCGCCATTACTGTTATTATTATTATAGCTAATAATAATATTATTATTATTATACCCTTGCTGCTGCTGCTGCTGCTGATTATTCATATGATTGTTATTTATCCCGAGCAAGAGCTGCCTGGCCAGATTCCTCTGGTGATTGTGGTGGCTCTCCTCCATCTTCACCGCCGCCAGCTGCGTCGTTATCATCGACGACTTCCCCCCCGCCGCCGCCGCCGCCCTCCACCCTCCCGCCGCCTCCCCGCTCTCGAACGGATACACCAGCCCCGCCGAAGAAGCCGACGCCGCCGCCGTTGAATCCATCAACCCTCCCCCGAAAAACGGCATTTGCTGCTGCTGCTGCTGGAGCCGCCACGTGTCCATCCCAGACAGCAGCGACCCCGCCGCTCCCATTTGGAAGGTCAGGTCCCCGACGTTGTTCATCATCCCTCCTCCGCCGCCGCCGTAGCTCATCCCGAGGTGATGTTCCCCTCCTCCGAGGAATTCGGATGACAGGCCGCCGTGGTGATGGTGGTGGAGGGGTGCCATGAACCGGAGAGGTGGTCCCCCACCGCCGCCGCCAAAAAGGCCTGACCCGAACATGTCACCTCCGCCTCCTCCGCCTCCCCCGCCGCCGCCGCAGCTGCTGGACGAGTTTCCGGATGCCGTCGGCCTGTTGTTGTTGTTGTCTCCGCCGCCGCTGACGGGGGACTTGGAGGAGGAGCCGCCGCTCTTGCTGCTGGAGCGCTTGTTGCGGCGGCAGCCTCCCCCGACGGGGACGTTGCGGAGGGCGCCGCCGCGGGTCCAGTAGCGGCGGCAGGTCTTGCAGAAGTGCCGGGGCTGGGACAGGCTGTAGTTGTTGAAGTAGCAGAACTTGGTGTTGCCGGAGTCGCACCGGGGGCACTTCAGCGCCGCCTCCGGCATCGGGATGTTCGCCATCCGGGCCCGGTCCGCCATCGAACCGGGCCGGATCGAGCCCGGCGCTCCGCCTCCGCTGCTGCTGCCCGAAGCAGCGGGCAGCGGGGGAGGCGGCGGTGGTGGAGGCCGAGCCGTTGCGGCGGAAGGGTGGAGGCCGCCGCCGCTTCCGCTGGTCATGATCATCATGTTAAGCGCCCCACTTTGTGGATTAATCTGCGGCTGCTTAACAAAGAAGAAGAAAAAAAAAAGGGTTAATTTCTTTCTTTCAATTTAAAAATATTTATTTTTAGTTTATGAGTATATTCAGGTATACTTATTGTAGCTTGCTTTTTTATTTTGTTAATGAGGGGACAAAGGAAATATCCCTCAAAGGAATAACAAATCAAAAAAAGTAAAGGGTTGAACTTGAATACTTACTTGTTGCTGCCAGTTGGCTGGATCAAGATAAGCTGGAATGGATGAAAACACCATTGTTTGGGTTGCCTACCTTCTTCTTCTTCTTCTTCTTCCTTTTTGCCCAATTAGTTGTTCTTCCTTGATTTGGTTTGCCTCTATAGAAAGTAGGGTTTGGATTAGGGAATAAGAGTATTTTGGTAGTTAGTGGGATGGGAGAATCACATCATCAGCAAGAATTAGTAGAGCAAGTTGTGGTGTGTTTGTTTTTGCAGAAAGAAAGAAAGCAAGCAAGAAGGATGGATTAGGGAAAGCCCAAAGCAGCAAAGGAATGAAAAGAGAGACAGAGAGAAGGGAGAGGGGGGAAAAAAGCAAAGGAAAGGAAATGAATGATATGAGAATGAGAGGAAGAGGCAGGAGGTCCAAAAACAACAAAAGGAGTGGCCTTTATATATACAAATCTTTTATTATTTTTATATATTGCTAGTGATGAACATATATCATTATTATTGATTTCCTTCACTTTGTTGTTGGTGTTTCTATATTGTTGTTATAAAAAAAATGGAAAAGAAATCCAACTAGTGCTATAGCTGCTGCATTGCTTAACTTGGGATTCTTTTTGTATTGTTTATTTTTATATAAGAATGCAGATTTTGCTTTTTAGGGTTTAGAGCTCACCTAGCTGAAGACTGTGGAATGGGAAAATCTGATGTAGAGAGGGAGAGAGAAAGAGAGAGAGACACTTTCTTAACTCATAAGCTTCTTTGTGATTCTTCTTCCCTCCCTGGTGCTCCTTGCTACCTACCTATGTCTGTGTACTGTTGATTAGAAAAATGGGGAAAAAAAATAAATAAAGAGAAAATGATGGTAACTACTTGGTTAGTGGCCCAGGTTGGTTTGGTTGTCTGCATGGGAGGACAAAGAGAGGAAAGTTAGGGTTGGAGGGTTTGCTTAGTCTACTTAAAATTGTTTTGTGTGAGCAGAGAGAGTGGAGAGTGTGAAGTGAGACTCACACCACCTTGTTAAGTAAATTTGGACTACTTGGTTAAGGTTCCGCTAATTCGGACTATTATATTGCTCTTCATGATTAAAGTAGTTCAAACACAATACTAATTTAACCGAAACTGTTGTTTGTCGCCTCTCACCCAATATACCTAACTTTTTTATATATGATAATTGAGCCATCAAGAAGAAGCAGTTATCCACAATACAAATACTAAAAAGATATTTATCATCCATGTTTGTAAAATCATATTTATACGGACAATCCGACACGAAAATCGTATATCGGGGGCCAAACCACTAGACAGTTTTTTTTTTCCAATATGAAGAGTTGATCCTTAACACACAAAATACATTATCATTGACTTTTTGCCGGCGTACGATTTTGCAATCCTGGCATATCACTTTTCTTATAAGTTCTTGACCATGCCAACATCAGTGTTTGCGAAACCGTAATGGCGGTCCGACCGGAAAAAATCTCCTATCCGAGTTTAAACTGGTAGGGGTTTTTTAGTCGTATAAATGGTTAAATCATGGTTTAGTACAAAATACCCTACCATTAACTTATCATATACAATATCCGATACGATTTTACGATATTCGCCAAATATCAATACAACAATTCTTCACAAAACCCTAAATCAGTGTAACAGTCCATTTCAAAGGTTGTATATTCCTTTTTAACCTAAAATAATCGTCGACAAGGATACTAGTTAATTATATATAAAATTTTTCAATTAGGTAATTATTTTGATTCTTCCTCTAACTCCAATAAAGAAAGATTCTTCCTCGAACTATAATCGAACATCAACTTTTGGAAAGATGATACGTCAAGGTTAACGACCATTTTGAAATGTCATATACTTTGTGATGTTTATTTGAATTGCATTCCGAAACAACACTTAGAAATATATTTTTATTGAATTTTTAATCAAAATTATATTCTCAATTTCTTCAAATTCAAATTTATTTCGACTTTGTTCATAAACAAAATTTAAATAAATTTTTGTTAGATTTCATCTTGCTATGTGTAAAATTGGGTTTAGGTTTCTGTGCAAAATAACTAATATATGTAGTTCCAATACTGAAACACCTTCAGCCAGTATTTCCCATAAATGACGAGTAACACGGTGCCTTCTACAGTATCCCGGGTGAAATCCGGGGTACCGCATACCTTGAGTATGAAAACGCTATCTAGACCTCGAATTAGCAGGATTTTTGGGCATGATACTATACCCTAACCCTTAATGAGTGAACCCTAGGTCCTAATTATCTAAATCAAAACTATAAACCCTAATATGGTGCATTGATTTTTTTGCCTATATTTGGACGAATCAAAACCGTCGATTATTGTTTCTAATTAAATTTATCTTTGGGTATAAGATTTAGAGAATTAAGACCTAGATTTTGATCTTTATGGGTTAGAGTATATTATCATGTCCGAAAAATCAGTCAATTCAAGTTCTGGATATCGTTTTCTTACTTAAGGTATGCGGTACCCCGAATTTCACCCGGGTTACCGTAGAACTCCCCCCGAGTAACACATGCCATATTCCAAACTTTTAAAGTTTCTCACCCCAAGACCACCTTCATTTTTTGGTTTTGACAATTTTTCCCAGGCCATAACTAAGCTTGTTCTCCCCCTACTCATCAGTATTCTTATCACGTACTTGGGCAAAAGAAAGAGGTTCATCCAGTATTAAAGAGTACAGGAAATCATTGTATTGACTAACTGAATTTTCCTGCATAACTAAGAAGATTAGTTCTCCAACTTCTCAAACTTTTAGTGATCTTATCAATCAACACATGACAATCCTTCCTGGTAAGCTTACATGTTATCAATGGGACACCATGGTACTTGACAGGTAAAGTACCCAACGGGAAACAAGTATATGCAGAAATTGCTTTCATTTCTCCACTTCGTATCCCTGCACAGAATAACGGATTCTTGGCAAGGTTACATTTTAGCTCTGAGATATGATAAAATTCATCCAATAATATGTTGATCCCCCTATCCCTTGAACTGACCAGTTTGTAAAGTCCATTAGGTCATCAGGAAAACAAAGGTGGATAATTCCCAGTTGATCGAGTCAAAAGCCTTCATGATATCAATTTTAACCACACACCGAGCGGAGATATTTGCTTTATGATAATCCATAACAAGCTTTGATACTAAGAGGATATTATCACTTATGCAAGCTTTGATACTAAGAGGATATAATCCATAACAAGCTTTGAGATCTACTAGTGACTTTAGGTAGCACTATTGCAATCATATTAGCTACCATTTTAGAGATCCCTTTATAGAGAACATTGCAACAAGATATAGGAGGATAGTGTTTCATGATTCCTGAGCTATGCAACTTAGAAACCAATGTAAAGATAGTTGAGTTTACAATCTGAGGCATAAAACCTGTAGCAAAGAATTTCAGGATTACCTCTTCAACCTCTCTCCTAATAATTTCCCCAGTGATCAATGAAAAATTCCACTAGAAAACCCATCAGGGCCAGGAGCTTTCCCCTTGCTCATCTCTCTGAATATCTGTCTGATTTCCTACCTTGAAACACCTCTCATCAACATATCACAGTCCAAAGAGTCAAACCTATACTGAATCAAAGAATCATAATAGCTCTGATGCTTCACTACCACTTCTTTATCCACTGTGCCAATAAGATCAATATAGAAAACTACAGCTGCCTCACAAATACCTTTAATATCTGTAATAATCTTTCTCTAGGATCAATAAACGAGTGATCTATTATTTTTTACTTATAATCTTGACTGACTTATGAAAAAAGGAAGTATTAGTCTCCTTCTTGAATCCCCTTTGTTCGAAATTTTTGCTTATAAAATAATTCCTTTGCTTTGAAAGCTTCAGAACACTCTATCTCCAATTTTTTCTCCCTCTCGATTAACTATGAGGTCGGATAAACAAGTAATTCATTCTGTAATATTCTGACTCCCTCTCAAATCCCCTTGCACACTCAGAAATCTCAGAGTATTCTTTCCTGTTAAGTTTATCGATAGGTAATGAAGGAAACTATGATTTTTACGCAGCTATGTGTGTACTTAGCCAACCACTCTTAGTTCACAAGAACTCTATCCAGACATTTAGATATTGGATTTCCTTGTTGCTTGTTGGTCCAAGTAAGCTAATAACACGTGAGAGTGCATATCCTATACCCCCTTATTGTAACCCAAAGTGCATGCATTTTTCATCAATAGTGTCATGATACCTTGAATTTATGTCATGATTACTTCAATTTTGTTCTAGCAACCCTAGGATTGCTTTTATACGATTGATACTCTTTGGGTAGCGCTTTCTTCCTTTTTCAGGGCAAAGTAGTCTAGTGGACCACTTGGAAGTTGTAGGAGACATGATATCAAATTGATGGAGCTAGGACTTGAAGACCGGAGCTCTGGATAAAACGACGCTCGTAGCCCCGTTCTAGTAAAGGGAAGCGGCGGAAAGGACACCATTTTGGGGAGTTAGTTGTCCATTTTGTCAAGAAGTCATCCCGGAGCTTCTTGATTCGCTGGCAACGTCTTTGGAGCGCTCTGATTGGTTGAATGACACAAAAACTGCGAGTTTTCCTCCCTAGAAATCCTAATAGAAGATCTATAAATAGAGCCCTAGATAAAGGAGAGAAGGGGAAAGAGACAAGAGGTCAAACAAGGGTTGTTACTCTACTGACAGAGCAACCCTCCTTACTTAGAACAAGACCAACCTACAAGGTAGAATCGACGCCCAAAACGTCGCCCCTTGGCCTGTTTTCTTTGTTCTAGGCGCCTATTCCATTAGGAGTCCTGGTGTCTTTGTTTCCATCAAGGAACACTCAGGAACCCCTCCCAATGGCTAGCTTAGTTCCTTAGTAGCAAAGGTATATGAACCCTAGGGTTTTTAGCCATGTAAACTCAATGATTTGGTTTAATACGATTGTTTGTTTTCCATATGTGTGATGCTTGATTTCCTCTATTTCATTAATTGTCAATTCGAATCAGAGCTTACAACTAGATCATCACTCCTTCGAGGTGCAAAGATCGAGAACCCCACTCGTTTAGAATGGGACTAGAAATAACAGTCCTACTCGATGGACCTTCATTCGATCGAACGGCGTGACCCCTCAAGGTAGAAATCTGAAAGGTCCTTGTCACCCATTTGTTCGGTAAATGCTTCGACAAGGTGGGATCTAACGAAATAAGAAATTGGCAGCTCGTATGCTACCAATCATCGAGGGCGCATGGTAAGGAGACCTAGAGGTAGCTTGCCTTCGCAACGCCTTTCTTATCTAATATCTCACTCGTTAATTAGCTTAGATTTATTTTTCTGATTTTCTTTAAGTTTCAAACTCTTGCGTTATTCAAAAGCGAAGGCACCTCAACCTCCACAACCTGCTCTCTTCTTC